AGATGCATTGCTTACTAGTTTACTTTCTTCTATTTCACTTCAAAAGAGCCAGTGGAAAACCATTTCACTGATTTTCAAACCCACAAATAAGTCGCTGCCTGTAGTCTGTAAGCACAGCCTAAGGAATCTCTGAGAACACTTCTAGTATTGATGATCTCTAGTATTGAGATCACTTCTAGTATTGGCATCTAGTAAAGCGTTTAGACTTCCCAGGTGGCTAAGTGGTAAAGTGTCAATGCAGGAGATGCAGGTTTGATCCCTGGATTGGTAAGATCCTGAAGAGCAGGAAATGGCAACCCATTCCAGTATTCTTGCCTGGAAAATACCATGAACAGAGGAGCCTGGCGGGCTACAGTCCATGGGGTCACAAAGAGTCAGATATGACTGAGCGACTGAGCAACTGAGCATGTAGCCGGCAAGCAGTAAAGCTGTGATCCTATTAGAGGATGAGAGATGCCAGAAAATCCTGTCCCCAGGGTGGAGTGCTTGACCTTATCACCTGAGTAACACATTTTCTGCACATCTTTGCCACTGAAACACCTACTGTCCAAGACACAGCGCTTGGAGACGAGCAAACCAAATACTGACTTCTAGGGACCCGCACTTGCCACCCTGGTGCCTAGTCCTGGGGAGATCTGGGGAAGGCTTGATGACAACAGGGTGGGAGCACCAGGCTAGGTTAAAACCAACACAGCCAAGGATTGGAAGAAACAAAGCTCTCTCCCTCCCCCTATAATCTGTGGATCACATCCACCCTACCCTACCCTGATAACTGATGTCCTCCATTTCTAAGAGACTGCTGACAATCAGTGTTTGCTTTAGATCTGGTAAACACGACCCTTTTCCCAACACCCACGATGATGCAGAGAAATGGCCCCTTGAAGTCCTACAGTAGTGAGTAATTTGCATAGGGTTACAAAATTTGGGCTCAGTGGTAAAGAATCTACCTACAATGCAGGCGACGCAGGAGACATGGGTGAGAAGATCCCCTGGAGGAAGGCATAGCAACCTATTCCAGTATTCTTGCCTAGAGGATCCCATGGACAGAAGAATCTGGCAGGCTACAAGTCCATAGTGTCGCAAAGAGTTGGCCACAACTCAGCAACTGAGCACGCATATGTGCGTAGGATTCAGGCTCCTGGAGTGTTCTGTCAGAGCCAACACAAAATTCTGGCCTCCTAAGTACCTCCAGCCATCAGATAGTAGGAGCACATGAGACTGGCAGGTTAGAACCAGTGTGAAAAAGTTGTCACAGGAAAGTACACATTATGATTATGAGTTGAAAAACCAGAGTATGAAATAGAGCAAGCAAACTAAAAAAAAAAAGTCTGAATAAGACACCACCGTATGGACAGTGGGTGTCCGCACCTCGTGATATATTCCTTCCAAGTTTTCTACAATAAGCATGTACTTCCTTTGTAATCTGGGGGCAAAAATAACTTTAAGAGCCTGTCTCTCCAGGGGCACATGATAAAGTATGGTTCAGGGAGAAGCAAGTAAGTTTAATCACTAGCTTAGTCCCTGGCATGAATGTCAGTTTGAAGAGATAGGTCCTGAAAATGTCAAGATACATATATTCCTTGTTTGGGGGCGGGGGGGGGGGGCTCAGCATTTACTCCTGCTGGACATGTGACTGTGGGTGTCCCCCTAAATTCCTGGCAGTGTGGAGTATACAGAGAGAGGGGTTCTTGGAGGGGGTGTGTGCTCTGCTTTTCTTTTTTTTCCTTCAAGAAACATCCTTAAAATCATTCAAGGCAAAATCAGGAAACTTGAGCTGTAGCTCTAGCTCTGATCTCAGGCCTGTCCCTTCCCTTCCTTGGGCCTCAATTTCCCCATTTGTAAGGTCCCTTTTGGCTCTAATATTCTAAGAGCTAAAGGAACCAGCACTCAGATTTAAGGGTTGCTAAGCCTGATGAATCTAGGGCAAGAGAGAATAAGGGAACTTTCGGCTGCTCAGGCTGAGTAAACAACTCAGAGTAGAAAGCGAGGGCCCAGCCTAGCGTCCTGACACAGGGCTTGGGGCTGAGAGGAGGGAGGAGTTGAGAATCAGCCCAAGGTTCTTAGCAAGCCCCCCGCCCCCAGAGCATGGCCTCTGGTCAGTGTCTTGGGGTTGTCTCCAAAGGGTAGGGCAGTCTGGCCCGGAGTAGGCAAAGCCAAACAAGTGACCCATTTCTTTGTGGAGCTGGAGTTCCCAGCAAGGGCGGCCAGCGCACCAAATGCTCAATCCAGAGGGAGGAAAAAGCATCACAAGGTTAAACAGGGCCACCTGTCCAAACTGGGGAGGAGTGAGACAGATGTTGAGACAACCTCCTCCCTGGACTAACCCAGGGCCTGGAACAAGCCTTTGACCTGACTGTGGCCAATCTCCTGGGATAACAGGTTCCACTGCTGACTTGCTGTGTGCCCTTGGGTGAGTTCCTTCTCCTCTCCTCAAATGAGAGGACATGCCTAGGTCCTCCTGTGGCAGGTGAAAGACCATGCATGGTCCACTTCCAAGTAAAGGAGACTTAGAATCGGAAGAAGGATACCCTTACAGCTGTCAACTGCAAAAAGAACTCCTCTAAGATTCAGAGCGGACAACAAAAGTGAAAGCAAAAGCCAGGAGCCAGAAGCGGACCCTTCACCTCGTCCGCAGTCAAAAGGCATCTGAAGTTCGGGAACTTCCCCAGCATTCAGGGAGAAAAGTCTTCTCAGTGCCTCAAATGAGAAGCCCAGAGTCAAAGGCCCTGGAGCTCTGATCTCCTCCAGCCCCAGGGCTCGGAGGGCTTTACAACCAGCCCTGTAGAAGGAGGGAAGAACATTACCAGAAGCATGACCCAGAAGCCCCCCAAAGGGGCAGGCTGTCCAGTGTAAATGTCAACAGGAGACGGCCTGCTGGCTCTGCTTCCAGCGTTGCCATTCCTTGCACACAGAAACTCCTGGGCCCCATGACTTCTGGAGATGGAGAGCTGGAAAGCCACAGCTGGACCGGCTTGGACCCTGCCAAGATCCCACCACCTCACTCTGGCAGGAGACAGGCTGGCAGCCTGAGCCTCACCCTACATCCACAAATCTCACTCTTGACCAGTGGTCACGTGTTAAGAGCACATGTTAATCTCTGCCTCCTGACTGGGGCTCCATATCAGCCTCCTTTATCACCCCCTCTGCCCCCACCAACCTGCAGGCCAGCCCCCTTCCTCTCTCTTATCAACCTTCTCCAAACTCCCACCTAACTTCTATGCAGCTAGGTTATCTTCTGAACGCATCAACAGGGCCGAATCACTCTTCTGCTTAAAGAACTTGAACGGAATTTGCATCTTTCTTTGTCTTTCCTGTCCAGTGATGTATGCTGAGCACCCAGGACACTGTTTGGCCCAGACAGGCATGCAGTCGACATCTGTGGCTCCAAGATGTCTACTGAACAAAGTCCCACCTGTGATGACCTGGCCCTGCCTCTCCAGTTCAGTTCATCCCAGATCCTCCACTCCCTTTACTTCCCCCCATCTTCCCACAAACCTGCCATGACCTGAGCACCTCCTAGTACATCCCATGCACCTTCATACCTCCATGCCTTTGCCTGTGCTGTTCCATCTGCCCAGACACCCTTCCTATCCCGTCCCTCCAGGAGACTCCACTTCACTATTTAATATCCCAACATTCTTTTCTTAGCAGGATCTCCTGGCATGCCTCACCCTGAGTTTCTTTCTTTCCTCTCTTCCTCCCTAACCTGGCACCACAGCTTCCTACAGAGTACTTGCTATGTGCTAGGCGTGAATGTCCCACACCCTAGGTTATCATTCCCATTATACAGGTGAAGAAACTGAGGCTCATAGAGGCTGTGACAGCCCACTGTGGGTCACACTGCCAGGAAATGGTGGGGTCTGACTATATTGCCACCTCTTTAATATACTTGCTATTTACTATTCACTAGACTGGTAGCTCTCTGAGGCCCCTTGACCTTGTACCCTCGGAGCAGGCCTGGGCCTTTGTCATGCTCAAGAAGCCCTAATCATTGAAACACTGTCAGTTCAGGACACCTAGAGGAACAGATCAGCCCCCTCCCCTTCTTCTGTCTTCCGTTTTCTCCCGGTCTGGGCGGTACTTCTGGCAAGTTGGGGAGGGACACATTTGGAGGGAAAGGGGCTCCCTGCCAATTCCATTTGGCCCCATCAACCTAGGTCAAGATCCCTGTGTGACGTCTGCAAAGTGCGAAGGCCTTTCACAGGTCCCAGAGCCGACTAGGAAAGCCATCTTCAAGTGATCCCCTCAAAACGAAAGCCAGAAGCCAGCAATATCAGACGCCAATCCCTCTCCAGCGGCCCAACACGCTGGCTCCGGTCCCGCCCACCGCGCTCCGGCTACGCCTCGGTTCCGCGCTTCTGGACCACCGGCAAAGACGGGAGGGACCCGACCCGGGACCACACAGGCGTCTCTGGGCGCAGCACAGGTGCCCGGGGCCGCTACCCGCCTGGAAAGTCCCGGGAGGGACCGGGGAAACCGCAGGGACGTGCAGGTCTCCTGCACCCTCGACTTCGGCTAGGAAAGCTTTCTTTCTGAAAGTGACTATCCTTGTTAATCAGACCCGGAGTTCGAGGCCACAGGGCTCCCTTCAGGGCGCAGACTAGTGATGTGATTCGAATCTGAGCAGTACTCGCTCTGCGGCAGGCACGAATGCCCCACCTCACCCCATCTGTAGATGAAGAAACCTGGTCACACCTACTCTGCTCACACCCCATTCGTCACCCTTTGCCTCTAGTACCTAAAACACACACACTCACGAACCTAAATCCCTTAAAAGTCTCCATTCCCAAAAAGGATTAAGGGATGGGGGAAAGGGCCTCTTTCGGGCAGCGCCAGGGTAGTTTCCTGGGACCTAGTGAGAAGTTCTGCCCTAAGCACCGGGGGAAGATGCCTCTTTGGCTACGGGTTCGGAACTGACAGGCGGATGGCAACTGTCCCCCCCAACAGGAGCCCGGAGGCCGGCTGTCTCCTCTCAGCCGAAGCCAGCTGGCCCCAGCGCGATGACCGGGAGCTGGGTGGTCCCGAGGATGCGAGTACGGAGTTCCTCCGCTGCAGACCCGGGGCAGGAAGCTCTCAGACGATCCTACAGACAGACCCGCACAGCCGTCGACTCCCTCCGGGGCCCCGTGGGGAACAGTCCCTCCGCCCGGCGCGGCGGTGCGGAAGGCGCAGACTCACCGGTGCGGCGGCGGTTCCAGCTTGGTCTCCGTCGGGCGGCCGGGGGCTGGGGGGCTCCACGATCCCGCCCCCCTCCCCTAGGCTGCCTGCTTAGGGTGCCGCGAGCCCGGGGCTGGGGGATCAGGGGAGGCTCGGTCGAAGGAGCACGGTGGCAGAGAGCGCGCCGCCAGCTCTCGGACTCGGATGGGGACGCAGGAAGCGCGGCCCCCGAGCGGCGGCGTGCGGGAGGGAGGGACCGAGAGAGGCGGAGGGCGGTGCCGGCCCCGAGTGGCCTCCGGCCCCGGGAGGCACCGCCCACCAGTCGACCCTCCCCCTCGGCCCTCCGGGCCACCTGGAGCCCCAGGGCACCGAGCCCCAGCTGCGAAGCGAAGACACCCACTCCCCGGATCGGCTGGGGGAGTGCGGGCCGGGGGAGTTGGACCCCACGAAGTTGGCTGACGCGGGATGTGGGGGAGAGAGCAGCCTGCGCCTGCCCCCCCGGGCACAGTTCCTGTGGCGCCGGGTGGGAAGGGCGTGTCGGCCGGTAGTCCGGGTTTTAAGTGTTAAGGAGACCAGAGAGTCCCTACCAGACCCGGTGCGAGTGCAGAGGTTCAGCTCCGCCGGCCCGCCCGCCGCGCCTTTCCAGGTGGGGCGCTCACCTGGCCAGCCGGTGCGCCGGCCTCCCCGCCTCCCCTCTTCCTCCGCCCCCTCCTGGGGAGGCTGCCCTTCCCTCTTCACCCTCGGGCAGGGTCTGGGCGCTGGGCCCCGCCCGCACCTCCCGGGGCTGGTCCCTGCCAGGTGACTGATGGGCGGAGGTAGGAAAGGAGGAAGCGAGTTTTTGAAAAGCGAGTCGTCTCAGGCCCTCGACCTGCCCCCACCCCCCACCCCGGGTCCCTTGAGCGTCCTCCGGGTCGCACACTTAAGCCTTGGTCGGGGTGGAGCCCATTCCAGGAACCTGCACCCGGGCCCTGGACGGGGGCGCCCTGGCTCGTGCCTCCCCAACTGGCGTCTTGTCTCCAGCTTTGCCCAGAACTTGAGCATGGAAGCTCCGGTTGGTGTCTTGCCGACCAGGTGGCAGGCGGGTGGACCGCCTCTGCTTAGATCTTCGGAGCTGCTGCCCGAGGCCTGGTTCTGGGCAGGGTGAACCACAGCTCGGAGGGCACCTCTGCCCCATACCTGGAGGTTTAGCCTAGAACTGCGCTTCTGGGACCCAGCCCGATTCTAAACACGCAGGTAGCCGTCCTCCTCCTCCTTCAATCTTAGATTGTTTTGCTTTCCAAGAGAGGTCAGGTCAGAGTCCCTTTCTCCGAGTGTCCAGCCCTTTGAAGTTCAGATCTTGAGAAAAGCTGATAGACCAGGTGTCAGAGAATCTAGCTGAGGACAGAAGGCGCCTCCTACTGGGAATCTGCCCTGTCCAGGATGGAAAACAGATACCCTGGTGGAAATTGCAATCAGGTTCACTTTCAAACTGCCAGCTTTGTGGGTACACAAGATTCGCATGTGTGTATACCTACAGAGTGGTTACACGTGGGTATTTTTTCCCATTGCTGCTTCTTCACATGCATGTGTGTGTGTTAGTCCTTTAGTCCTGTCCGACTCTTTGCGGCCCCAGGGACTGTAGCCCACCAGGCTCCTCTGTCCATGGAATTCTCCAGGCAAGAATGCTGGACTGGGTCGCAGTTCCCTTCTCCAGGTCTTAACATGCATGATAATAGTTCGATAGGACCTTAGTGTCTACGAAGAGGTAATTTGGGGGCTGTCTTGTGATTTTGAGGAGGGAAAGGCATTTAGGGAAACAGTAATGAGTCTCCCTAAGTATATCAATAACTGGTATTCTTCATTTCCTTACTGTGGACCAAGAACCCAGTTACCACCTGCTTCCCTTGCACCATCTTATTTAATCCTTTAAACAACCCTGCAGATGGTTATTGGTTATGCTCACTTTATAGAACAGAAAGCTGAAGCTTGAGGGGATGAGGTCATTTGCCCAAAGTGTAACTTTGGGCAAATGAGGAATATAGGGAGCTTGACCCAAATCCGTCCCCTCCAGAGCCTCTCCTCTCCCTACTATAGAAAAATCACCCATCAGGCTCTGGGCCCTAAGACAAGTTCCCCTGTGTCTCCAGTCTGTCACTCAGGAAGAAGACATGATTGTCACACTCTGCATAGTGATGTAATTCTTTACAAGTCAGTCTCCTCTTCTGAGGACAGCAGCCACTGTGCTCCCAACAGTCTTTGCTTGACTCCCTGCAGGTGCTTAATAAATATTTACTGGATGATTGAAGACTCCAAATAATATTATTTTAGCAAATGGGGAGAACATATGTGGAGAAGGGACCTGTACAACAGGTTCCCGTTTGAAAGCTGTGTGTATCCATTGCAAAGTTTGGACAATGAATTTGGGAACCTTCCAGGCTCCAAAGAAGTGATGGGAAACAGTCACATAGTCCTCAGATAAAACCAGGGATCTGGTTTTCATTTCACTCTGCAAGACTAGCTTTGGAGAGGCCTGGGCTGGGGGTGATCATTTCAGACAGCTGCTCTAGCTTCTACCCAGAGGCAAAGGGCCTCAGTACTTTTCCATGCCAGGATCCAACTCTGGGTCCGCCCTGCTCTGCTGCACACCCAACTGGGCAGGTCTCATTTATCTGAGAATATCATCTTCAGAGTGTTCCTTTTAGTCAGGCTCAGCTTGGCTAATCTGGGGAGAGGCTGGAGAAATTCTCAAAGCTGAACCACAGGCAAAATCCAGAAGCTGGCAAAGGAAGCGTATTTCTCCTTGCTATCATCCCCTCCAAGCCTTTTCCCTCTAGGTGGTGAGCGCCTCTGAATCTTCCCAAGTTTTCTGTATCCCACCGAGGAGCCTGACAATGTAACCACCACCTGATCCCCCTGTCAACTGACAAGGGCCTGAGAAATGCCTTTGGGGAAAGAGCCAGAAAAATAAATCTCAAACAGTGGAGTTTCTGTTACTGTTACCATAATAGGCAGAGGGGACGATGACAGTTGCACCATATACTGAGCCTTATGTTTCAAGTGCTCTACAAGCACTGTGTTATTCAATCCCTACAACAGCCTTAGAAGGAGAATTTTATCATTCCTGTTTTTCAGGTGAGGCTAAGACTCAGAGAAGTTATGTACCTGGATCCATTAGCAAGTGGTTGAGCCAAGAATTGAACCAAGGTATGTATTTGCTCTTAACCGCTATGCTAGGAACCCTGTGTGGTAGGCAGAGCAATGACTGCCCAGAGGTGTTATAGCCTGATCTCCAGAACTGTGAATATGTTACCTTACATGGCAAAAGAGACCTCGCATATGTGATTGAGTTAAGGATCCTGAGATGGGGAGACTGTCCTGAATTATCCTGGTGGACCTCACAAGATCACAAGGGTTGTCACTGTTGCTCTTAGGCTTTCTCTAGTTGCAGTGAGCTGGGGCGACGCTCTAGTTGTGATGCACGGGCTTCTCCTTGCAGTGGTTTCTCTTGTTATGGAGCAAGGGCTCTAGGGCACGTGGGCTTTAGTGGTTGTGGCACACCGGTTTAGTTGACCTGCAGCATGTGGAATCTTCCCCAGTCGGGGACTGAACCATGTCCCCTACGTTGATAGGTGGATTCTTAACCACTGGACCACCAGGGAAGTCCACAAGGCTTCTTATAAGGGAGGCAAGAGGGTCAGAGAAGATGTGACGCTGAAAGCATAGGTCAGAGTAATGCAATGCCCCCTCTTGCTGGAGGGGACCATGAGCCAAGGCATGTGGGAAGTCTCTAGAAGCTGAGAAGGGCCAGGAATGGATTCTCCCCTAGACCTCCAAGCAGAAGCACAGCTCTGCTGACACCTAAATTTTAGCCTACTGAGACCAATTTTGGACTTCTGACCTCTAGAACTGTCAGGTAATAACCTCATGTTCAGAGATCAAATTGCCAACATCTGTTGGATCATAGAAAAAGCAAGAAATTTCCAGAAAAACATCTGCTTCATTGACTATGCTAAAGCCTTTGACTGTGTGGATCACAACAAACTATGGAAAATTCTTAAAGAGATGGGAATACCAGACCACCTGACCTGCCTCCTGAGAAATCTGTATGCAGGTCAAGAAGCAACAGTGAGAAACGGACATGGAACAATGGATGAGTTCCAAATTGGGAAAGGAGTACATCAGGGCTGTATATTGTCACCTTGCTTATTTAACTTATATGCAGAGTATATCATGTGAAATGCTGGGCTGGGTGAAGCACAAGCTGGTATCAAGATTGCCGTGAGAAATATCAATAACCTCAGATATGCAGATGACATCACCCTTATGGCAGAAAGTGAAGAAGAACTAAAGAGGCTATTGATAAAAGTGAAAGAGAGGAGCGAAAAAGCTGGCTTAAAACTCAACATTCAAAAAACGAAGATCATGGCATCTGGTCCCATCACTTCATGGCAAATAGATGGGGAAACATTGGAAACAGTGACAGACTTTATTTTCTTGGGCTTCAAAATCACTGCAGATGGTGATTGTAGCCATGAAATTAAAAGACACTTGCTCCTTGGAACTAAAGCTATGACAAACCTAGACAGCATATTAAAAAGCAGAGACATTACTTTGCCAACAAAGGTCTGCCTAGTCAAAGCTGTGGTTTTTCTGGTAGTCATGTATGGATGTGAGAGTTGGACCATAAAGAAAGCCGGGTGCTGAAGAATTGATGCTTTTGAACTGTGGTGTTGGAGAAGATGCTTGAGAGTTTCTCGGACTGCAAGAAAATGAAACCAGTCAATTGTAAAGGAAATCAGTCCTGAATATTCATTGGAAGGACTGATGCTGAAGCTGAAATTCCAATACTTTGACCACTTGATGGGAAGAGCTGACTCATTGGAAAAGACCCTGATGCTGGGAAAGATTTAGGAAAGGAGGAGAAGGGGACAATAGAGGATGAGATGGTTAGATGACATCACTGACTCAATGGACATGAGTTTGAGCTCTGGGAGTTGGTGATGGACAGGGAAGCCTGGCATGCTGCAGTCCATAAGGTCACAAAGAGTTGGACATGACTGAGTGACTGAACTGAACTGAACTGAACTGAACCTCATGTTATCCTATGCCATAAAGTTTGTGGTTATTTATTACAGTAGCAGTGGAATCTAATAATCCTGCAAACTCAGCCATGTAGGTAGATGCTTATTTCACGCATCTCTTCAGCTAACTATTCACTGTAAAATTCTTCTCATACAAGGCACCGTGATACAACCTGTATCATGGATTTAGAAAGAAGGCAGGATTACATCAAACCTCTCTGGTTTCTAATCCTCTGCCACTTATGAGCTGTCTGACCTTGGGCAAATATCTCATTCTCTCTGAGCCTCAGTTTCTTTGTCTATAAACAGAGTGATGCCAGATTTTTCAGGACCAATATGAGGATCAGGTGAACCAAAATGTGGGAAAGTGCCTTATAAATGGTCCAGTGGCATCTGAACATGAGTCATTTGGGGCATTAGTCTGCTCAGCTCTGAAAGTCTGGATTCTAGGAGGATTGCATACTGTTCTGAGCATTCCTGGCATTCAT